CCTAGAAAATATACTGTTGACTTCTCTCCCCCAGAACTCACCTGCACTTCTTAAAGTATTTATTTACCTCATATTTGTTGCAAGTCCTTGTATTGCACTAATACCAAAACGGGCCTCCAAAGTGCCACGTAATTTCCCCACCGCCTCCTCAGACTTTTGCCACTCTCTGATTATAACATTTCGCTCCCACAACTGGCCATCTGAATTAACTTGCCTTTCAGATCCATAAAGCTTGGCATAGTAAGTGCTTCCTCTGATTCTTTGCATTCGGTTCCTGAAATCCTGCTTCCTGCGCCGGTGGCACTTCTGTAATTGCAGTCCCACTACCAGGAATAGCTGTTACCCTGACAGCTGAAACCAAACTGCTTATTATGGGGCTGCCCCAAAGCTACTGCTATTTTTCTTTTTATTCAGAAATATCTAAAATTCTGCCAACTGAATTTTCTTCTCACCTAAGATTTCTACCTGTTTCAGAGTGGAAGCAGCTGGAAGGTGCTTTACCAGAAAGGCCTGTGAACACGTGCATCATTAATATAATGTGATGTAGCCCTTACCTCCCTGACATTAAGGGGATTAGAAGGAAAAAATTTAAATACCAGGACCTTTAACATAGAGGTAGTTACTGAGCATGCCAGACTTTCTTCTGATAGCACCGTTATTTAGATTTTGCCTTAATCTTCGCCTGTTTTGTTTGGACAGTGTTTTTGCTTAAAATGACAGTTACTCTTTGAGATTTTTCTACACCTATATACGTTTTCAACCTTTTCCCCATACTTATCAATTACCAATTGTTATTCTTGTCAAAACAAGAAGGGAAACATTTCTGCTGTCGTGCAGTATTATTGCTGATCCAGACACTAACTTTATCAAAATCTAAAGTCGTTTCTACATCATTTCATGAGGAAGAAGAGAAAAAAAGAAGGCTTGTGACATAATCTGACAGTTTTGGAAAGATTATTTTTTCAAAGCTTTAAAAATAGTAATTTGTAGCAACATTCAAGAGGTCAGAACTTGCTTTATACTTACAAAGCAAAAATACTTAGCTAATGAGTAACTCCAACCAACCCATCCAGCTGCGGAGTAGAAAATCCAGGATACAGCAAGTGGCCTGTTGGAGAAGGCCATCAGAATCCACAAGGCACAATAAGAACGAAGATGCTAAACACAAAAGGATCCACTTCTGCAATGAAAAACCTTTTTGGACTCGCATAGCCTAAGCCAGCGCAAGGCTCTGTGCTTGCTGACAGCGAGCGCTGGTGCCTTCCCTGCGGATCAGGCCTTTGGCAAGGTAAGGAAGAGGGAAAGTGACAGGCGCTGTTTTTCAGAGTCCCACGGACACCCCAGGAAGAGGCCGGGGCCGCGGGGAGGACGCTGCTTCCTGGGCACACGGAGGAGGACGCGGGAGCTGCAGGTTCTCCCTGGCCAGCACCGCGACCCAGGCTCCACGGTCACCTGCTCTCAGCTGCGCCGCGGTCCGTGCCGGCTAAGGCCACGCACACGAAGGTTGATTAGGTGGAGAAAGAAAAAGAGAGAGAGAAAAACCCCACGCGCTTTCCCTTTAATCTTCCTTCACAGCCAGTGCTACAGCAAGGCAGCTCCCCGCTACAAAAGCGGGTCGGTCCATTCCCGTTTTCCACCCAAGGATCCCTGCGCATCTCAGTGACCCTTCCCCACTCTCCTTATCCACTTTGGCACCCTGCCCGAGTCTGGACTAGTCCTCAAACACATGCGAAACAATTCCCCCCTCCCTGGGCTGAGCTTGCCCCTCTGCATGCTGGTTTTCCTCTCAAAAATCCATGTTAGCAGTAAATTATTTCCACCCTCCATCATCCAGCTGTGCGGGCAGGAACAAGGGCACTGACAGAGATGGATTCCCGCTCTGCTTGCAACCTCTGCTTGGCCTTAAGGCTGCTGCTGCTGCCGCTTTTTTCAGACTGAAAATGGCCTTGGGTTTGGGATCTTTTTCCCGCTCCCTGGTTAATGCTATGGGCAACTCCACCAGTGAGGTTTCTCTCCCAGGACACCATAATCCCCCAAGTAAAAACTTCCTAACTCTCAGCTCATTGGCAAATTCTTTAAATCATTTCAAAAAGTGGAAATGGGGTGAGTAGGCCTCAAGGGAAAGGGATGAAGGCAGAAGTAGTTGGGGGGTAAGGAGGCAGTTATTAAAGATATCAAAGGGATAAGAGATAAAACCTAGACTAAAAATGGAAGCAGAAAGAGAAAAAGCGAAATCAAGCTGGGAAAGGCAGAGAGCTGTAACAAAAGCAAGAGAGATTGCATTAGGTTAATACTTATCTAAGGCATTTTTATACAAAGCTGACAACTGCAGTCAAATACTTCATTCCTTTAAATGGAAGGGGTAAGAAGAAATGCAGCAGTTCAGAGAGAGAGCATCAATTAATCTTGATTCAGGCTGCAGCTAAAGAATGAAACTCTGCCCTTAGCTTGTCCCTGCCAGCCCAGTCCATCAGCTGCAGATAACACAGGAGAAGGGTGAACTTGAGGGGCCTGCTCCTCTTGACCAACACAAAACACCTATTTTGATCAGAGCTACAAGCGCTCCAGATAACTTTTTCCATGCATGTGGAAAAAGTTATGGATAGAGCTTGAGCGTCAACCTTTATGCTTCCTTCCTTCTTAAACTAAAAATAAGTGAAGGTTGCCACAAATCTCAGCTAAACAACGAAGTGAATCTGCAATGTTATTTATCAAACCCGTCCCCTTGCGCTATCTGCTTCACCTTTGAGTTGAAAGGAGATTTATGTTCAAAGAGAAAATACATATATTTCAGCAATAGCCTTGCACTGCTTTATACAATAACATTTATATAAGTCAGACTTACAGACTGTTCCAGTAAAGAATTAAAATTACAATGCCATCTATGTGTTTCTACAAAGCCCTCACGGCCCTCTTAGAAAATATTTGGCATATTTGAGTGTTCTCCATCTGTACATATGTAATCTTTTCCATTTCTATGAACCTACTCCTCACAGGCGGGATGTCATTAGCCACTTTTCTGGGAGCGCAGAATTCTTGCTAGACTTTGCTCTCCTCCTCAGGAACCCTTAATCATCTTAGAATTAAAGACGGAGAGCCAGGGGGGAGAGGGGAGGTGTTAAGGACCCAAAGATTGAACTTTTAGCCTTCATCCAATAACAGAACATTAATTGTTAAGAAAGGAGCAGAAGATCACTAGATTTCTCGAAGATAAAGGAAGTTCAAGCCATAAATAGATATAAGCATGAACTCATGACTAAGGACTAATAATGTGAAATTAAAGGAAAATGTAAGCACAGTATTAGCAAGAATTTCCTTATGATACGACTCATTGGACCTTATAATAGTTTCCCAAGGGAACCAGCAGAAACCCCCACTGCTTGGAATATATGATTTCAGGAAGGGAAAAACACAAGAAGAATGCATGATAGCAAATGCTCCTGCAGAAGGAGAAAAATGGGGTGATTTACTCGGTTCAAGCAAATTCTCATGCTTTTACAAAACTGGAAAGTTTCAGGCAGAAATTTGCAATTACTTTGTATGTTATTCTGGAGAAAAAAAATATTTTTTTCCTCTTTTCCTCCCAAACTAGCCAGCTCTGATTCAGCACAGCAGCATTTCAGCTCACTCGCAGTTTGGAAGCAGAACAGCACAGATCCGCTGCCAACTGGACCATCGGACCAACTGCAGAGCAAAGATCCCCCACTCAAGTTCCCACCTCTAAAAAAAACTGCCCTAGTCACAACTTCATTCTCTTTTCCTAAAATTACACATTGCCTTAATGATGCTTGAAGAATAAACTCAACCCTTTCTTTGGTAGCGAAACGTGGGAATTTTCTTCCATGATCACATCTTTAGATATCAACTTCTTTTGTTCTTCTGGATGATCCACTCACCTCCACTGCGCTCATCCTTAGTAGTTAACGAAAATTTCAGCCAAGCACAGTTACATTTTCTTGTTCTTTACGTGCCAAACCTCAAAGATCAATTACAACATGCTTTTCTGTGCAGCATAACTCCAAGATAGGATGTGAGATCATTCATTAAACTACATACCCAGGACTAGATGCATTATTAATTCATTTTCCCCTAGGTAATATGGCATGGTGAAAAATAGCTACCAGGGAACACACCGACTAAAGATTTAAACAGAAATCAGTGGATTTATGTGATGATTGCTGCACAGCAGCCTAAGAGTCCTCATTAAAGGAGACAGGGTTTCTTCTCCCCTGATACTGTCGTTGCTCGTACGGAGGAAAAAAACCTGATGTTTGACACAAGGAAGAGCACTGATCACAACCTATCTCAAAGAGGGTTCCCACAGCAGTTATGAGAATGATCTGTCTGAATTTAATAAACACCAAGTCTGACAATATATACAGCTCTCAACTTTATAATGTTTTCTGGATTATGACTGCATCTGGAAAATCCCTTTTCTCCTGTTACAAAACACTACCTGCCTCAGAGTTTCAATTAGGTGGGTGCTGTAAACATCAGAACGAGATTTTACAGTTTCCTTTTTAACTTTGTGGAGCAAGGGAGCTGCCCTAAGAAACCATTTAACATCAAGATCATCCTGAACCTAACAAACACGCTGCATGGGCAGGATCTACAGAGTAATTTCCATTTAGACTATGCTCTACAGCTCAACGCCTGTATTAAGCAACCTCAGGGACCAGGCTTTTCTCCCACAAAACAATTGTCATGTGCTCCCCTCTCTTTCCTACCTTCCGTGTGTTTTCCTCTAAAATCGTAGGAAAAGCAGAGGCAGATGAAATTTTGCCTTGCTTAATGTAAGATGACCTTATATGCATACACCAAGAACCTTGGCAGCTAAGTTAACTACCCGGCACTTGTGTGAGCACCTCTGTATAGTCAAATTACCACCCCATTACACTATCACATAGCAAGAAGCATATGCTGCTTTGTTTAATCCAGCTTTAATTACATATGCCTCAGTATTCAACTACCTCTTGAAAGCTGTGCTCATATAGATAAGATGGTGAACTCTGCTTCTGCAGCCAAAGATTTCTGAAGTCTCTGAATCAATCCTGGTTTTAGTCTCTGGTAACGGTGCACGGTATCGTTTTGAAATCATAGCACTCCGAAACTTGAGTAAAACATTGTGTTCCAAGTGGCTGATGTTGTCTGCCTTGTATCCTCTCCACAGACTAAATCAGCAATGGGCATCTGACGTAAGGATTCCTCTCCCTAGCTTACTCGTGAGCAAGTACTGCTGCAAGAGGAGAAAAAACACCTGCAATTCCCCACACTCAGCTGCACAGGGATGTGGCAGCCCATCATTTCAGCTGGCAGGTGAGATACGGGGTGGGGGGAATCCAAATACGCTCTTTGAAGACCTTTATTTTTGTTTCTGTACCTCTTACACTCCTATATGCTCATCTCCTGTCCTGCTGAAGTTTTCTTATGATTATACTTGGTTATCAACGTTCAGCCTCAGTGTATAACCACAACTTGACTTTCCTGGCACGACAAATCAATGCTCCTCAGAAATCCAAAGCAATCTCGAAGCTTTGCTTCTCCGTGTCAAAGACCTCGATCAACGTCAAGTTTCTTTTTTTCTTAACAACACCGCAATGATCTTGGAATGAAATATCTGCTGCACTTGTCAGATCAAAAAAGTAAAGAGCAGAGCTGAGAGGAAAAAAATAAAAATATCCACACATACTGCAGGACAATCGTCTAGTCAACGGCAAAAGAAAACATGCTACTTGTTTTTTTGAAGCATCAGTGTAATGGCAAAAAATCACAATTCAGAAGCAACATTATTTTTAACTCCCAGTTCTCCAGGATTAGAAACAGGGTGCACACTGGCACACAGCTGCCACACTGCATGGCACACTCCCCGCAGTGTGTGAATGGAGAGAGGCAGAGCATGTTTATGATGCACAGGATGCCCAACAAATTTATTTTGACCAAAGCTATAGCTGCCCAATTGCTCTAGGAAAGAAGCTGGCAGCAAGCAAGAGTTAACTTTTAGTGCAGGGCCAGCTGGAATAACACAGACCACTCAGACAACAAACGTCACCTCACAAGCACCCTGGACACGTTCCAAAAATCACTTGAAAAGTGGTATTCTTTCTTGACATGCTCAAGGACTAATTCAGCTCGCACCAGAAGTAGCATTTTTTTTCCCTGGTGCATGGCAGGAACCACAGTCTCCAAATCAACTTCGAGATGATTTTAAATAGTCTCAGCATCCACATTTCCCCATAGCAGCACTAAGAATCCTGATAATTCATTTTATTTGTATTTGAGTTTAAAAACAAAGATTTCATGCACCTGAAAAAAATACTAGACTATTCCTCTACCTTCACACACGTGTCCCCAAAGAAGCCTTTCAGAAGAGAAATATATTTTCTGGAAATATATCTTCAGGAAAGGGACTGTACTTGCAAAGCTATTCACCCACATTAGTGCAGCTTATAAAATCACTTAGAGGATTTCAGCTGACATTCAATATTTTTATTTCTAGCTATTTCCCTGGGCTCACAGAGCTCTCCTGGCCAGGCCAGTAAGAAAATATAACACCTGCTTGGATTTGGCAGGCTGCATGGGGCTCAGAATAATAAGGCAACCCCTTTAAAAATCTCCCTCATTTGCAAGTGCTGATCTGCTGATGATAGGGAATAGCTGCGCTCACCTTCAGAAATGAGGATGAATTTGGATTAGCAAGGGCGGAGGATTCGTCTCACATGTAAAATGGAGGCTGGGAGTCAGAAAGTAGTGAATGAGAGGCACTAAGAGCTATTGCTGACTCCCTGCTTTTTCATACAAGGCTTGATCTTCCCCTTTTTACTCCACAGCAGACCTAGGGTAAGAAATAAGAGACAGGCAATGGAAAAACAGTCAGAAAAGTAAGCACAGCAGGGCAGCTGGGCTGTACTTCTAATCATTTTATTTTGTAGGAGCATTTTCCAATTTTTTTGGTGATTAGAAGAAACTTATGTTCCTTTTTTTAAATGACAGCTCAGGAAGAAGTATCAGAGGATGAAGCTCCCTGAGATGGTTGAAAGGGGAAGTCTCACTTCCCCCTTTCATCTCCCCCATCACACAGCCTAGCCCCTGCCTTGCACCAACTCCCATTCGCTGCTCTTGAGAGTTTGTGCTGAGCCACTAACCAGATAAAGAATAAAGAGCGAGAAAGCAGGCAGCTCTCTGCGGGACTACTGAATTCCTAAGCTCCGCACAGGGTCTGACGGGCAGCACAGCCGCAGCGAGGCAGCGCAGCGGACCTGCCTCCGCAGCAGCTCCCAGCAGCAAGAGCAATGCCCCAACCTGCCGAAAATGCTGCAAAGAGTTTGGAAATGCAGGTTTACAGCTGTCTGAACCACCCCAAAGTCCGCAACGTGCATATTCTGTGAGCAAAGAGATTAGCATCTGGGCTATACCCCATGAGAGCACAGCTGGTGATGCTGCAAGATTCAGACGTCTCTTTCGGACAAGATCCTGGGATGCTTTCTAGAAGGGAAGAGCCCCAACGATGACTCTTTAATAATTTTGCAAGGACAAGAAATAAGTGACCTTCGGGTTCATGCACTATGCTTCTTTCAAAATCCTCAGCCTCAATGTCCCGTTTGCAGAGGGCGACCTATTCTTGAGGATTTCAGTGGACTACAAAGCAAAGTGCAAGGGACAAACTTATACAGCCCCCTTTGGACGAACACCAGGTTTAAGATTCCTACTATAAAAATGCATGGAATGTTTGGCCTGAACACTGACTTATAGAAGAAATCAAATTAGCACATGTAGGGTACCATGCAAATAGCATTCATACACATTCTTACATGTAATGAGTGGCAGACACACATGTTCTCATGTATGACTTATTTTTGTACCAGAAGCCAGCTCGATGCATATTCCCAGACACTGGATCTATGACTCTAAACTGCCTTATTAGTGTTACATGTTCCATAATATACTGTCCAAAAGCCTACTAATCAGCTCAGTAGTTTTACAACCTATAAAGAAAAAAAAAAAAAAGAAAATAACATTTTCTTTCAAAACCCCATCCCTCTATGGTTGGATAAAAACAAATCACTTCTAGGCTCGTTAGCAAAATATATTTCATTAGCAAAATGTAATTTCTTAGGAAACAACGTATTTGAGTATAATTAGCCAGTTGTTTTGTTGCATTCAGTGCTAATGACTTTTTCTTGAAGAAAGATCCATCTTTGATTGATTTTCCTATCTTCCCAGCTTAAGAAAAGCCTCTTTGGGTTGAAAATCCGGAAGTTCTCAGAAGGGCCTTTAGAATAACCAAATAATCACTTACCTTTTCACTCAGTTTATCTTGTGTTTGCTTGAGAGTGCTTTGTTACAAGGGTACAAAGGCTTTCAACCGGCATGATTAAAGCCAGGCTTCTAAATTTGTATTTTGGATCCTAAACAATAACACGGAGCAATCAGCTCCTGCTGATGTCCAGGCGCAGATTAAATAACCTGGCTCAAAAGCAGGTTTAAGCACGTGGAGCCCAACTCCTTGGTACCTGGCAGCAGTTCTGAGCCCCACCGCAGCTTGGGTTCGTGATGTCCACACTGCACTGTTAGGTCTACCTCTATAATGAGAGGTTTATAAATGCTATTAAAAACACAACCAAAGAAAGAAAATCACAGTGTTTAAGAAACACAATAAAATTCATGTCTGAAGTGTTTTATTAAGAAACTATGCGCAAAATGATAGTAACAGCGATGCTTTGAGGAGGATTATCCATTTGACAACCTTTCCCCTCACTCCAATTATTTAACTTCCCTCAGTTTTACCTATATGGTTGATATTTTCTAGGCTTGGACTCTGTTCATTAGTAATTACATGCCTATACTCTCCAAAGTGAGTCAGTTACTTGAGTACAAAAATATGATTTAAAAAAAAAATCTTCACCCTAGGGAAACACTTGTATCTTTAAACACATGATTTCCCATTCCATAGCTTATCTAAAAATAGCCACTTACATAAAGGCTTAAGAAACAAGTAACTTTCTTTGCAACTCTGTATAACTTTAGAGAGAAAAACATACCTTTATTTTATATGTATGATCTAAAGTTTTTCTAAGTAGGGGAACATTAATAAATTCAGTGAACACACTAACAAAGTCATGCACTATGTGCCCAATTTTTTATTTCTGAGGGGCAATGGAGGTAAAGGGCCTCCTCCAGCAGCAGCCTGCAGTTCTTGCTTTCCAAAATTTGTAAAGGTAAGCTAAATGCCCTTCAAGAAACAATTTTTTTTTTCCACTTTCAGAGAGGCCATCGCTTCACGCTTCTATCTTTGCCGGAACACACAGTAATTGTGCACGACCTTCCCCATCGTGTAGCGTAGGGCTTCATAAGCCAGCTCATCACCCGAGAGGAAGCCACCCAACCTGGAACCGAGGTACAGCCCATCACACCCGTCACACAACTCCTGAACTATCCCCTTTGCCAGTGCTGGACCAGGGGTAGGTAAAAAACCATGGATGGGACATTTCACTTAGGACACTTAACTAAAGAGCAAAGCCTAAGTTGTGAAGAGCAGCTCTGCACCAGGCAGCGAGCACAGAACACGTTCTCCTTCTGCCAGCTCCTCCCATGAAGTTCTAATTGAGTAGCCATGACAATGGCATTTTCTTTTAGGATTAAAGCTTATTTTGGAAAAAGAATGGGTAACAGCACCACCTGGTGATCTTAGCTGTACCAGTATTTAAGATATCTACTACATGAAGGCACAGTTATCTGGATAAAAGAACAGATTTTCATTCTAGTCATGTACAGTTTGGAAAGTTTTCAATTAAAATACATGCAATTCATGTCAGCAAACAGTAACATTTTGTGATCCTATTAAAAAAAGTACAAAAGGCTTCGGCTGTAATGTTAGCCAAGTTCTGCTTGCAAGAGAGGAAGGCTCTTGACACAGCAAATGCCAATTCAGTAAAATTCAGAAATCCATTCAAATGTTTTAACACATCAAGTTAACGAACTGTTTGTTTAAAGGTTCATTGCACTGTTTATTCAGCTGAGAGACCACCTCAGAATTAGCAACAGTCAAGCTTAGGTTATGAAAATCACTGGGAAAAAAAATATCAGTCCGAAGGTCATGTATCCCATACAGTCCGAGTGCTCAGCACAGTCAGAATTGGCATCTTGGTCCTTGCACATTTAGCGTTTTCCCTGCTGCTCCAGCAAAGTATCAGAGAGCGTGGACCAGCACACGGCTGGAAACCATCCCAGGGGATCCCGGGATGAAAAGCTCTCCCTAAGGACACGGCAAGTGACAGCAGAGCTGTTAGAGCAGCGGGCAGGGACGGGAGCCGCAAGGGCCGGGGGCACCTCGAGCAGAGAGCACCCACCTGGCAGCAGCAGCCCCCGCGCCCAACGGCCCCAGAGCGGGCTGCAAGAATAAATAAAGGGGCACCTCCCAACACGGCCCCGCACGAGGCATCTCCCAGCACAGGGCTGGCAATTCCCGGAGGCTGCCCCGGGCATCTGGGATGTGGGTAACAGCTGCTTTGACCCCGAGATGGAGACAGTGTCCGATGCCTCTCCCAAGTCTGCTGTGCTCGAGGGTGGTACCGTACACTCCAAAAAGCAAACGCTCCAAGGCCTCTGTCACAAGATCTCTTATGTACCTAGTGAAGCGCAATACCTACATATTTTCATAAAGTATAGGACTAGCTGCTACCAGAGGATACAGCGTTAAAAAGAAACGAACACCCCTCCTCACCCATGTTCTGAGCTATAATGCCTGTAAAATGACACAAACATTTCAAAAATCAGCTGCAAACGTTTCCAAAACCAGCGCTATGCCACATGGCAGAAAACATCATCTTGAGCAAGTGCCCCCTGCTAGCCAGAACTGCCCCAAAAGCTCTAAAAGCTCCATATGAGAAGGTATCTTATGCAGAGCCATGCTATTTAGAATAACCCCATCAAGAAATAAGTTGCATTTCAGATATTCTTTTTAGTTATAGTCCTACGTAGCAGTCTCCCAGCCCTATTTTCACCGCGCTTTGAAGATTTGTTTCATCCAAGAACATTCACTGCACCCCAACATTGCCGCACACATCTAGGGCTCTAGAAAGAAGAGCTCCTACACTGATGGGCGCTTTGCTAGACTTCAAAAAAATATCTCTATATGATTTAGAGTAGTAATAATTTTGTACATAATGCAAGAAAGAAGCACCGTATTCAGCTTGGATATAGCCTAAACGATAGGGAACATTTCAGAAACAAGTCACTGGCAAGAAAATGCTAAGACAAGTCATATGAATGGCATATATTTCTTCATTAACAAAAATAAATAAATAAAAGCAGCAGTTACACAGAACTAAAGCCAAAACTGTGTTATGTAAAATATATTTTAAATTGTCTAACACACTTTCAGAGCTAAAATGACTTATTTCAGAAGGTCGTTTCAAGAAGCAGATTACCAGCAAAGAAATTTATAGACATTATTGGAGTGAGGGAAATGAGGGAGAGAATCAGTTACCTATTTTCTGTCACTGTGCACAAGTAGGAAGATCGTCAGACCTATTAATATCCGAGTTCATCTCGTTATGAATGGTACTATAAAAAGCAAGTGTTTTAAAAAACATTAGCCCTCTAGCTAAACTGTCTTTACATAAAGGACTGCTCTCCAGAGAAATGACAGGTTCCAATTACCTACACCAGGCTGCAGGGAGATCAGTCTCCATCAATGAATCCCACAAACACGATACAGATTGTCACACAGAAATAGAGATTGTCAAAGTTAACAGGAAAAAAAATCTAAGGCAGAAGAAAACAAAAATTTAATATCCAAGTTGGAAATTTCACAAATGCACAAACTATTAGAAGCAACTTCTCCATTCACTTGTGAAAAGAGCCAGAATTTGTGAGTCCCTGGCACAACATTTCTCCCCACAGCTACCTAACGAACACGGAGACAGAACAGAGACGGGAGAGAAGACGGCGCAGAGGAACCATGAAAGACACCTCCAAGTCAGGGTCACGATCAGACCAGCTCAAAGTAGCTGAATGTGCAAGTAATTTTTGTTATTATCTAAGATAACAGAAATCATCTGTTAACTTACTTGAAAAAAGATTGCACTTTCTTTCCTCTATTGTTTTTCAACTCCAAGGACAGTCTCTAAATGAAAGACAGAGATCTGGCCAAGTCCAATTTCAGGCTAAACCAACACCTTTAACAGGTTTTAAAAGTCCGTTTTTCTACTTTTTCCCCTTTTTCTGGCTAAGCAAATACAAGAACAGCATAAGGAAGCAGAGTAAAGCCTGGCTCGCTCACACATTTCAACTGGGTGAGACGCTGTGCTCAAATTTGTCATTATCTCTGTGTTAAAACTCAACCTGTGTGCTAGCTCCAGCAGATCCTGATCTGACCTCGCATCGCGGATCCCCTGCAGCAGGACCCCTTGAGGACAGGCCGTGCCCCGATCACCCCGCAGTCAAGGGCACCCTCAGATGTCTCCAAAAGAAACTCCACAGGTCCCCAAAAGTACCAGAGAAGCTGGCAAGAAAATGCATCAATCTGCTGCTTTTACCCAAACTCATGGACTATCTTATGCTAACCAAAGGGAAGAGCCTGTATTCTGGCTGCTCATTCCAGCCATTTCTTAGTGGAATGATTCTCAGCATACCTTGGTGACAGCTTCCCAATTTCCACTCTTATTTTGTATTTCCTCTTACCGATCTTTCGCCACAATATTATATCTTAGAACAGAAGGAATATTTTTACATGCTGACTGTCAAAAAGAGTTAATTCTTCAAAGAACATTAGAGAGGTGGTGGTAGGGAGGGAACAGTTCTGCAAATCAATTCAGAAGCACTTTCCATCAAAAACAATGAGCAGAGAAGGTCAAGAGACACTTGTGCAAGAAATTTATGTGCAAGTGTCAGGGCTAGGAATCAGCCTTGGTTTAGCAGAAGCTGTAGAGGGCAGATCTGCAGGAAACAAGGAGGGAAAGCTGCAAGTGCCCTCAAAAGGGGGAAGCCTGAACTTGTAACCACGTGAGATGGCAAAACAGCAGGATGCAACTCAGTAGGTCAGCTTTGGCCATGTTAGGTCTACGTCAACAAGGAGACACACACGCACAGATGCTGAAGCGTAGGATTTATCACCTTATCTTTAGAGATGAGCACCTGAGCTTAGTCATCCTAGACTTTATTCCAGGGAGTGAAGAGAACCAGGCACTTCAGAATGAGTCATCTAACTCACTTTTGGCTGAAAGTAATCGCACCCCGAAGCTGTCTGCCTGCAGAGACCCTCAAGGGAGCTAGGGATGACTAGCTCACACAGACATGTAAAATTTGCCAATTAAATCTCACCTTAGCTCAAACCATGACATGGATCTCGATGGAAAAGATATGTCAGGTATGAGGAAACTTTCTCGAGGAAAAGATTGCATGTGAAACAACAATAAAAAAATCATTCCAAAAACAAAGAGGATTAGACCCCTATATCCTCCTGAAGAGGAGGAGGAAAAAGCTAATGCATCAAATGGAAAGATGAAGAAGAATCAGACAAAGAAGTTGATAATATTAACAAAGGACTCACAAGGGACAAAGCAGCAGACAGATCAAAGAGGATCAGATAGAAGCAATGGTCTAGCTAGAAGAACAAGTCTTTCAAAGCCTTAGTGAATAAAGAAATTAAGGAGGATACAAGACAGATCCAGAAATGGAAAGCTTTAAGCAACAGCTGTTTAAGAAATAAAGGGAAAAAATAATAATAATAATAACCACACAAAACAGTTGGACACAAAGCAAAGACTAATCTGAGTTGGGAGGATTGGGATAAACTTTTACCCTAAAAGAAACAAAAGCAGAAAAGACAAGAAAACAGCAAGAGATTAGACTAGAAGTTTTGTTATTGAAGTCATAACCAGATAATATATAGCTGATACGGGAAAAGAGTCAAAGAAAAGACGATACCCAGCAAGGGAAACAAATGGGAATATTTCAAAGTCTGTACAGCCCCCCTGGGGATCACTGACACGGGGCCAGTTTGTTCATGCGACTGATCATGAGATGGACGATTAGAGGCTCTTCAGGAAGGCGACAGGGGACTTCATGCAAAGAATCAACTTAAACACAGGAAGTTGTCCTGTGAACAAAAATATGAAGGCCAGAAAGGAGTTAACGGGTCTGGACCAGAGGGGAGGCCAACATGGGGGAACACAGTGAGCAGCTGCTACAGACCACCCCATCGAGGAGATGAAGCCTCCTTCAGACAGCGGGAAGACACTCCAGTTCTCTAACCACCCCAACACCCACCAGAAGGGGAATCAAACGGAGCAGAAGCAACACAAGGGACTTCCAGCATGCACCAGGAACAGTTTTTTGATGCAGGTGCTGGACAAATTGACTAGAAGCTCAACTATTCCCTAGAGAACAGCACAGTGGAGGATGTCAGGTTTGATGTCAGGCTTGCTTGCAGCCACTCTCAGATGAGTTTAAGATCCTGCAGGCAGGGAAGAAGGCGAGTAGCTCAACGACAACCCAGGATTTCAGAACAGACACTCCGATGTGTTCAGGGAAGTACCAAGCAGGACCCCCAGGATCCTCCTGTAAAGGGC